GGAATGCACGGATGTCTGCCAGGTGTGAAAGGGTTTGTAACTGATTTTTGAGGTTTTCCTGTAGCTGTCCTAAAACACGTCTGGTTATTGAAGGAAAACATGCGTGTTTTGTTCAATCCAGCCCGACTCTGGAGCTGACATGCAGGCTGGGTTATAATAGTCTCCTGCTGGTAACTTGTAAATGTCACCCTGGCACTGTCCCCTGGCTGCCTGCTGGAGACAGCGGGTGTCTCGCATCACGTCATGGTGATTTTTCTGAAAAAAACCCTTCTTAAAACGGTGCTTAGGGGACCAGATCTCCTCTGTCCTCACTCTCCTCTCGTCTCCTCCTCACCTGGACACTGGCTGGCCAGACTTTCAACGGGGCAGCCCCTCAGGAGGAGGAAGGGAGGAACTTCTGTAGCAGCAGCAGGGAAAGGAAGGGCATTAGTGCCCCACTGCCCCTGTGCAGGTCCCCGTCTCTGGGCACTGCCTGCAGACCAGGCAGCGTCGTCCTCTCCAGGCAGCAGCCCCAAGGGCTTGGAGAAATCCTTGCTTGCGTAAGCACTAATTAGCACTGCTGAAGGACTCGTAATCTCATTGAGGAATTGTTTGGGGTGGTGGCTGGAAAACAGCCTGAGCAGTCCTGGGGGGGGCAAGTCTGCGCTGGTGCTGAGATTTTGGAGCAGGAAAGCCAATGCCATAGTCTGCTCTGGTCAGTGCCTTTCTGGCTGGGCAGAGCAGAGCACTGTCTGTGTCTCTACAGAGCTCAAGTCTGGACTGTAATGAAGGGGCAGATTCTACAGCCACAGACAGCCAATGATGGAACAAAATGGTTGGTCAGAAACATGATGTTTTGTTGGGAAAATTACTGTCTGGGCATGCCAAAATGTGCACTTAGACCTCAGAGTATTTCTAGAATACCTAATCTGAGTTGTTCTATGTAGGATTCTTGACTTTCTGCTGTTAAACCTGTTAGGCTTCATCCAGTGACTCAGCAGGTAGTTTGTCACTTGTTTGCAGCAGTGTATGTGCCAGCATGGAAATGCAGGAACAGCCTGTTTCCTTCAGCCCTGCTGCCAGTTCAGTTTCTGTGGTATTTTGACAGCTCAAGCCAATATTCCAGATCACATTAATTTGGGTGATAAGGTCACTTGCCATATACTAAACGCCTGAAAAAAAAGAAGGTTTTGTGTTTTCTTGGTGCTCAGTTCCAGTCTTTCCCCCAACTAGCACTGGGATGGGCACTCTTGGGCAGCCTCTCAACAATTTTAAGAACTGAAATTCTATGCTCCAGCACTCATATGTTGTAATCCAGAAGTCTAGCCCCTTGCTTCCCCCACATTAAACATGCTTGCTTTGAGATGTCCCTGTATCTGCAGTGGTCAGAGGGAATTTCTTGAAACAGGGAGCAGATGTGACTCAGTTTGGATGTGCATAGATGTGGCCGTGCACAAACACATGGTGACATGAGCCTTGCAGCGCTGGGAGCAGAGCAGAACGCATGGCAAGACAACCATTTATCTTTCTGACTGAATTCCAGCATGGATCTCATTTTGTGTCTCTTCACCTTGCATTAGCTTATGAGTTCCCCAGCTTCCCCACTGAAGCCTTTTTGGAAATGTCAAGTTTGAAGTGATACTGTCAGCAATGCAGGTTGTGAGGTCAGGGGGCAGAAGTGGAGCTGGGAGACTTGCAGAGGAAAGCCACAGCTCTGCACCAGGAGCTGGAGGTAATCACAATTAATCACAGGCAAAGGCTTCACTGTCAGTCATTAGTGTTTGTTTTGAAATAGTGAAACAAGAATTGAGAAACTCCTGAGCAGAAGAGTTGGGAGATTTTTGCATTCAGGGAGTTTGTCAACCATACGCAGGAAGCAGGGAGACAGTTATGTCCTCGGCGGCTAAATCTGCTGTCCAGAGTATTTTACTGAGAAGTCTTAGACCGTTGTTTATCTGCAGCAGAGCAGTGGAGACCACACTTGGTTTTATTCTGGAGCACCTCTTCTCCTAGTACGTGTGTGAAGGGATCCCCTGAGGCAGACACAGGCCAGTTCTCCAAGCACTGCTCTGCCAAAATGGTACTCTATTTATACGTGGGGTTTTGGTTTTGGTGTGTTATTCATCTGGAAAGGCTGTGTTTGCCATGAGGGTCAACAGGGTCAACCCAAAGCCCACCTGCCTCAGCATGCTGGGACAAGATAACTATGGGGGTATGGCTGTGTTTGCCCCATCTCAGCACAAACCACCATGGTTGATGTTCTCCTCAATGCTTTGGTCCAGGATGAGAAGGAGCCTGGGGTGCCAGCGAGCTACACTTCTCTCATTTGGAGAGGAGAGCCCATAGTCCAACAGCCAACCTGTACTCCTTGCTTTTATTGATGTGCCTTGAAGTGTTTGCTTCTGACAGAGGCTGCTCTGGGATACAGGGGCTCACCAGGGTGATTTTCAGCTGCTCCCATGTGAAAAATGTTGGCCTAAGTAATCCAACAGGCAAGTGAATGGTGAGGTTTCAGTTTGCCCATTTACAATTGTCTCAGTGTAAGCAGAGCAGGTAGGTGGAGGAGATGGGCTATAACTCCCTCCTTTTCAGATGGTCCATTTCATTCAAGTCACTCAGTGTGGATTATAATAAGATAAATGGGAATGTGCTGCCTGTACATAAGAGCATCTGTAACAGAGGTTAGGATGACAGACTTGCAGGGTATATGGAATTACAAGGAGCAAGGCTTGAGTCCGGGCATCTTAATTGCCATTCCAAGGAAACCTGCTTGACGTTTTCCCTATTTGAAAGTGTTGACAAATATCATCTATATTCAGGAAAGGTTTGATTTGAGTTAAAACTGGTACATGAAAAAAGCTATTAGGCTGGTTCTGCCTATCGTGATGGGAAGGCATGAAGGGTTTGGCCTATTCACCCTCTGAAAATGAAGGCTGGAAATTAAAAGATTGATGACAGGTATTCATTTACTTGATCTGAAGGAACTGGACATTTCATGAACAAGTGGATAACAGATGTCTGTGTATACCTTCGAGTTAGGAATGGGAAATCTCTGTCTCTTGGCAGGGTGAAGCTCGAGGAGCTCTTTACTACCAGCCTCTGGAGCTTCAGCCTCAAACCACTCATCAGATACTGTTGTTTGTGAGATGAGAGATTGCGCCTCATTGACCCAACTCCCTTCCAGTCCTCAGTTATGTACGCTTGGGATTCTTAGTAACTACTCCTGAGAGATTTTACATGTAGGAGCTGGGAGTGCATACTGCTTAGACCAGGGCTGGCCACCTGGGTGACCAAGCAGTGAGGAAAGGGTCCAGGAGATGCTAGTGCAGGCCAAAGACTGGCTGGGAAAGGTTTGAGAGCAGTATGTCGACAATGGGGTATGTAGACATCCTGGGTCACCCTGGGGGTGACTGTACTGACCTGGCACTGCTTCTGGTAGCATCTCTCTTGCTCAGGGTATGGTCAGGTCCTCTGGGCAGCCCCCTGTGCTTGTGGTGTTATGAGAGATTGAGAAGGGATAGCTCCTTAAATCAGGAGGGAAGTGTCAGGCAGGGCACAGTGCCCTGGGGCCATGAGCAGGGCACAGTGCCCTGAGCAGTGCCGTGCACCACAAGGTCTTGGCAGTTCTGAACCAGCATCCGGAGAAACAAACCTGTATCTGTCTACACCTGACTCTGCAGACATCCTTGTCCTGGGACTGTCTTCAGAGCACCTCCGGTAAGCCTTGCTCTTTGGTAGGATTTGTGAAGGATGCCCCGTGCAGAGGGTCACGATCCTGACACTGCACAGCCATGCAAACTTCACAATCTCGTGACACTGGGAAGCTGAGAGCAAGAAAATATTTTAAGAGGAGATGCAAGAAACCACTGCACAGTTTGAAGGCAGAGCTGTAATAAAGCCTCTTGAAAAGGCAAAGGTGCTGGACAGGCTCTGTTTAACTTTTCTTTTCATGAAAGGAAAAACACAAGTTAATTTGAAGAAAGTTTTTTTGTTGTTTTGGTAAAGTGTTTCAGTTTGAACTACTCTCACGCAGTCCCCTCATATTGTGGTTATCAGAACTAATCAGAAAATATTCAATGAGCAGGAAAGATTTGATTCCCAGCAGTGGGCAGGTGTGGGCACCTGGGAGCATCGCGTCCCCTGTGCTTCCTGCAGCTGGCAGGAGAAATGAGAGACCCACAGGTCCTCGGCACAGGCCCTGGCACTGAACACTGCTGGTTACCACCAGGGACACAAGGGCAGGAGCCATGAAGTGTTTTTGTTTGGCTTTCAGTCCTGCACCCAAGGCCAGGGTCACGTTGAGGCTGGAGGGCTGTGACATTGCTGCTGCAGCTCTGGGGCGAACTGGGCCCATGGGCTGTTGAAAACCAGTGACTGAAATGGGGTGTGCAAAGCGTTTTTTCTGGACTCTGAGTGACCCCTGGAGAAGCCTGTACACCCACCTGCCAGGCGCGGGGGCTGCAGAGAGTGCTGCGGGAGGATGAGCGGCAAGGCCATGCCCCGGGAGGGGAGGTGATCCTGTGGAGCTGCCTGAGCGCAGCCGGCTCCCAGCGCTGACCCCACATCCAGGGATGTGATCGGTGCCTGCCTGGAAGATCATGTTGGCGAGACCCAGGGACAAGTGGTGGGTGGGAGGCGGCTGATGTCAGAGCGCTGGACCCGTATCTGTGGCAACCAGAATAAATAAATAAATAAGGCGTGTATGCTGGAGCAGGAGGCGCACAAGCTGCTGCACTCCTCAGCACAGGCTCGCTGAATATCTCTTAAGCAGCTTAGCACCCTTGCTCCAGTTTATTACCTGAGCGTCTTCGTGTCTGCCGGGCGGCTGAGAGCATCCTGCCGCCGGTCCCCTCGGCAGGGACCCCAGGAGCCTCCCCCTCTCTTCATCCCTCCCTCCCTCCCTCCCTGCGCTGACAGTGGTTTGCTCCGAGCATCCAGAGCTCGATGCGAAGCCGCTGCTCCGCGGTGAATTTCGGTCCTGCCGCGGAAGGCCGGAGGCGTCTGCCCGCATCCCCACGGCGGGCCCGTCTGCAGAAAGGTGTTTGAATTCCAAGCCCAGCAGCCGGTGCCTGCGAGAGACAAGCAATGCTGGAAGTGCTGTAGCTGAGCCGGAGATGGATAGTGTCAGCAGCAACAGGAACATGTCTTACAGTAGATGGAGTTACAACAGGTATCGTCTGTCTGTCTTGTTTTGGTTTGTTGTTTTCTTTTTTTTTTCCTTCCTGATATTGTAAAACCATCACGCTGTTTATATAAACTGAGACGGAGAGCCCTCTTCAAGGAAGCAAAACCCTTTACTAACGCTTTAACAGTCTGAAATACACTTGAGACACCCTGGGTTCCCAGGAACTCGAGCAGCGGCGTTTGCTGTTGTTTAGCAGGTGTTTGTCTGGAAATCGGTGGTAGTTTCACCCTGTGTGGCTGCACTGGAGGTGCTCCGAGCCCTGAATGCACAGGTTTCCCGATCTCTCTCCTCTGAGCAGGGCACTGAGACGCAGTGATCACCTCAGCAGTCACCCAGACTTCTGAAAGGTGGTCTGTAGGAACAGCTGCTCAAAGCCAGTGCCTACACATTTTCTACCTTATAAGCTAAACCTTGGGGAATGGAGACAGCAGGGAGCCAGGATGTAGCTGAAGAGTGATATTTTCAAGCAAACACTGTGTATAACCTGGGTACCACACAGCTGACAGGTCTGAATTCAGTGTCTCACTGAGACAGTTGCAATATTCCCACCGTGTTTCATATCAGCATGTGTGTTTTTTTTTTTAAGGGAAACAGAAATTTATTGTTGCATTGGTTTTGTTTTTATGTGATTCATGGCTGTGACTGACAGGTACTTCAAGCTTGGATTAAAAGAAAAGGTACAAACTTCATATTCTTTTTTTTTTTTTTTTTTTTTTTTACTTTTTGTCTGTGTAAATGTTACACCTGAAATGGAGCCAGATGCTAAGCATAAGCAGTATTTGTATCTCACTGAATCACTCCCACAGGCCACCATGATATCCTGAAGAAATGCCCATGGAAGTGGTTTTTAGTGCTTGAACAGGTATTTGGTGTTGCCCATCCTCCCTGGGTGCGTGAGTGTATATTGTTTATATGTGCATCTAGAGAGTATCACTCATTTTCAGTGCGGTCCTACTGCCTCAGCAGAAAATGTACAGATTCATACAGTGGTGGCAATGGAACAGTGTCCTTAAAAAAAAAAGTGTATATGTTTATGTATATGTAAAACTGAGTTATACAACAAGATGTGCTTTTATGCATATGTTGTCCCACAAAGAGGATGTTTTCCATCTGATGCCAGCAGTGAGATCCTGTAGTATTCAGTCTGTCCCATGCAGCCCAAGTTTGCAGCAGTTTTGGTATCTCAAACCTACAGTGAACAATCCAGAAATTTCACACAAACTCCTCTTGAATGTCTTCTCCTGGTGCTACTGCACTGTGATTTGACCTTATGTATTGCTTGCAATCTATTTCTCCAGTTTTCAGTCTTCATGACTATTTATCAGCCTTGTACCCAAGAACATGCTACACTCGTGTGTCCGCCCTGCTTGGCTTTTGTATTTCATCTGGAGGGAGACACGCAACATTTCAGTGCCCAGGCTGGTTTTTTGGTGGCCAGTTTCCAGATTTTGAGATTTTTCCTAATAAATCCAAGCTCCATGAACTGGTACCTGTGCACTATATATATATATATTTCAGTACTGGGAGGCTGAGGAGTGAATTGCTGCTTTTACTCACAGCCTTCCCTTCTGAAAAATGGTGCAGAGTTGTTCTCACACACACTGGGCTGCCCTCCCACACACCTCTTGTGCCCAGGCCTGTGGCAGAAGAAGGATCTAACTCTCTTGTACCCCAAACCCTGGTGGCTGATGTTTGCCTTTGGAACATGTCCCCTGCCCCAGCTTTGGTCTCACTGAGCAGTGGCAGAGGTTTGGGGGAACTTTCTGCCAGGAAGGGAAGGAAATAAGAGGTTCTTGTTTTGAGCATCTTGGAGCACCTGTGGTGCATGCCAAAGCCTCTGGCTGAGCGCAGGCTGCCTTTCTGTCCTGCAGGCTCACACCAAGCCACCACAGACTGAGACCCTCCCGTAACTCCATATGTGCTTGGACTGGAACATGAAGTTACTGCAAGATTTCATGAAAGCTGTGCTCCAGTTTTGTGTGTTGTAGGAGTTTAGTTAGTAAAGTTAAACAACATTATTTGCCCATTCCTCAAGGGACACCTGTAAGCCTTTGGGCAAGAAACGCTGCTGCTTGTAAAGCGGTGTTAATGATTCTTACCTCATTCACAAGAGTCCTGTGAAACAACTGATAGTGCTGGGGTCACTGCTCCTCACCAGTGGCCACAGAAGTTGGAACAGCACTGTGAACAGCCAAGCACTGTGTGAAATATGACAACTGAAGCTGGTGAATGTTGTCGTGATTTTTTTAAGAAGGGCAAGAAGGAGGACCCCGGAAACTACAGGCCTGTCAGTCTCACTTCAGTGCCTGGAAAAGTTATGGAAAAGATTATTCTGGGAGGTATTGAAAAACACCTGAAAGACAATGCAGCCATCAGTCACAGCCAGCACAGATTCATGAGAAGAAAGTCCTGCTTATCAAACCTGATATGACAAGGTAAACCACCTGGTTCATCAAGGGAAGCCAGTTGATGTAATCTTTTGGAATTTCAGTAAAGCTTTTGATACTGTTTCTGACATTATCCTGGACAAAATGTCCAGCCCACAGCTGGATAAACACGTCATGTGGTGGGTGAGCAATTGGCTCATGGGTTGAGCTCAAAGGGTAATAGTGAATGAAGTGACATCAGACTGGTGACCTGTCACTAGTGGGGTTTCACAAGGCTCCTTCTTAGGCCCTTCGTAAATGACTTGGATGCAGAACTGGAAGAGATACTACAAATTAGAGGACTGGATAGTCACCAACCATATGAAGTTCAGCAAGGGGAAGTACCGGATTCTGCACCGGGGTGGCACAAACCTGGATGTACAGACAGACTGGGGAATGAGAGGCTGGAGAGCAATGCCACGGAAAGGGAGCTGGGGATCCTGGTCAGTGGCAAGTCGAAGATGAGTCAGCAGTGCCCTGGCAGCCAGGAGGGCCAACCCTGTCCTGGGGGGCATCAGGCAAAGCATCGTCAGCTGGTCAAGGGAGGGGATTGCCCTGCTCTGCTCTGCACTGGGGCAGCCTCACCTTGAATATTGTGGCAGTTTTGGGTACCACAATATAAGAAAGATATTAAGCTGTTAGTGAGCTTCCTCAAGGCCTTGAGGGGAAGCTGTATGAGGAGCGGCTGAGGGCACTTGGTGTATTCAGCTGGAGGAGAGGAGACTGAGGGGAGACCTCACTGCAGTTACATCTTCCTCGTGAGGGGAAGAGGAGGGGCAGGCACTGATCTCGTGACAGGATTAAGGGAGTGGCCTGAAGTTGTGTCAGGGGAGGTTTGGGTTGGATATTAGAAAGAGTTTCTTCCCCCAGAGGGTGGTTGAGCACTGGAACAGGCTCCCCAGGGAAGTGGTCACAGCACCAAGTCTGAGAGAGTTCAAGAAGTGTTTGAACAATACTCTCAGGCACATGGTGTGTCTCTTGGGGATGGTTTTGTGCAGGGCCAGGAGGTGGACTTGATCCCTGTGAGTCCCTTCCAACTCAGCATATTCTGTGATTCTGTGGTTCTCTGGATGCACACCCAGGTACTCTTTGTGTTGGCCTCCGTGAATCAGCATTGCAGGTATAGAGGGACAGGGCCAATGGAGCAGGTGCTGCCTCCCATAAATACATTTCCATCTATACTTAAAAGCAAAAATGCTCATCATCTATCTAATGAAGGGAATTAAACAAAGGTTTTGGCCTTTGGACTCTGGAACATACATGGATTCTTCCCCATGGAAATGTGGCGACTTGCTATGACCCTTATAAATGGCCAAGCACATGTCTTGCGGATAAAAGCACTTGTGTGCAGTATGCAGAGGTTTTTCTAGTGGGGTTTATCTGACATTTGTTTTGTATCACAGCATTTGGCCCTGTGATTGTGATCTTTCCTTAGACTTACTGACCAGGATATCCACAGATCATTCTTGCAGACAGTTTGTTAAACAAAGAGTAAGTCCAATCACTGACTGCAAAACTGGAGGTGAGGGAGCCTTGGGTAATGAGGCTGTTCAACACAGTTCACCTCAGCTACTCTCCTAACCAAAGGAAAACTCCTCTTCCCCCCCAGCCATCATCTCCTCCCAGCCTAGACCTGTGTGTGTGTGAAAAGGAAACAGGTCCAATATGAAAAGGTTCTTAATGAGCACATGTGGCATTTCCAGGCCTGGCTTGTTGGCCTTCCTAAAAGGCCAGTCTTAACTTGTGCACATCTTTGCCTTCCTCCCATTTCAGTGCTGTGACAATTTCCTTGTCACTCTGAATGTTGCCAGGCAAAAGCAGAGGATAAGCACCAATTTAAACAAAAGCTGGGGGTATTTTGGTGATCCTAGAAACACTTAGGGCTTCTGGGTTCAGTGGGTAACTTCTACAGTGAAATAATGCTGCTCTTTCACCATCTGCCCTTGTAGATAAGCTGTTTTCTGGACAGTTACTAGTCATTTATATTCAGTTCCTGTTTGGTTTCTTTCCCTCTTGATCATCCTCAATGCTTGAGCATCATCACGCTCCCTGCTCACCATACCTCTGATCCCTGGGTGTTCACAAATCCTTGTCTTCCAGAGCAGAGCCAAACCATCTCTTTCAAGCTCTCAGTGTTTAGTGCTGGTACAGGTTTTGGCAGCTGGGCTGTGTTGCCCATCAGCACTTTTACTGCCTCCCACCAGCTCTTTCCAAGAGTCATGCAGTGCCTCACTCCTGGGGATGCTGCACATGGACTAGCAGAGTGTTTCCCTATCAATCTCTTCAGGAAGCATTTATCCATCCCAGTTCACTGATTTCAGATGTCATCCATGTGGGCTGGAGAACCTCCATGTAGTACTCTCTTTGGGTTTGGTGAACTCCTGTGGGAGTTCATGGTCAGTATACACAGAATTGTTCTTTGAAGGGGCTCTACTCTGTGCTGGGGCAGTTGCTGGTGGTACCCAGCACTGACCAGGTAGGACATGCACGCTGTGTGAAGCTGAGTTCCCCCAGGCAACTCGTAGCTGAGCAGTTACTGAAAACATCTGGTGTCAGGAG